AAAATACCACTTTAACCGATTGTTTTTTACCGCTTGACTTGGAATATTCGGCCCTTAATTGAATGTTCGATTTTATCTTGAAATTATCTTTATATCTCTTGTTTTCATAAATGTCATACATGACAAAAAATTTATTAAATCTTAATACATATTTTTTTCAATAATATTAACTAAACATTTACTTACAGTAAATAAATAGTTACTCAATAAAAAATATAATTAAATTAAATTAATGGTTTTTACACCAAACAAATATATGTTTACATTTAGTAAATATTTAATTAATACTATTCAAATAAATATTTGTTACAATTTAGTAAATTTTTTCGGTCTAGTTTTTTAGTCTATAATTTATATTCATTGCATCCTGGGTCAAAAAATAAACGAGACACTTTCAATAAAGTTTTCTCGAGAGACGACCGATTTAACCACATTACGATTAGAGATCAAACGGGAATGCGCTCAAAGATTGTGAAGAGTGATTACTCGCTGATGATTAATTAAAGTATCGACTACTGCGAACGCTCGGCAATGTTATAATACTAACGCGATAAACTAATTATCGAATCTATCAAATATCTTTTCGAAAGGAAGAGGTGATACAGGATGACGCACAAAATGTTATACCATTTGGTTTATACAATATACAGGGTGTTTCCAAATTAAATGGCAAAACTTCGGGAGCGTGTAGAGGAGTAAAAAACTAAGAAAAAAAGTCCTATAGACATATGCTCCTTTTTGCTTTGTTTCGCAGGAAATCACGAAAAAAGAAAAAAATATATTTAATTTATTATTTTAATTATTTTATTTATAAACTTTTTAATGAAGATTTTGTTCGAAATGTGCACCTCTTGCAGCAATACAAGCATTGCATCTGTCAAACACGGCTCTTGTAGCAGCCAGGCACTGTTCTTGCGATATTCTGTTCGCTGCAGCTACGATACGATTTCTCAAATGTTGCTCTGATTGAATAGGCGAAGAATAAACTTCTTGCTTCAGAGTACCCCATGCATAGAAATCTAATGGCGTTAAGTCGGGCGAACGAGTTGCCCAATGTACTGCTCCTCCACGTCCAATCCATCGTTGTGGGAATTTTCTATCTAACCAGGTTCTAGCGACTCTGCTGTAATGAGCAGGGCATCCATCTAATTGAAACCACATTTCAGTACGTTGTTGTAATGGGATGTTTTCTAAATAGTCAGAAAATTCATTCTCCAAGAAATTTAGAAAACGGTCCCCATTTAATCTTGCAGGTAAAAAAAAC